GATGGATGGATGGATGGATGGATGGATGGATGGATGGATGGAAAGACAGATGGAGAGATGGATGGATGGAAAGATGGAAAGATGAATGGAGGGATGGATGAAGAAATGGATAGAGGGATGGATATTAAAAATATCTAATTGACCCAAATCAAAAGTGTTACCTTCCTTTATCAAGAGTTATTTACCCACATAACAAAACAATACATGGAAGATTTTAGTTCTAAATAAAACTCCGCCTTTCATAGAGAATCCATACACCTCAATCTTCAGTTTCCATCAGGCTAAAGTAGTGCCCTCAAACAAAGAATGGCTGGGCATTCCCTAGGTCATGTAAGCAACGTAGTCCAGTGGAAGGACTTTGGAGTGACAAGATATGCTTCACATCCTTCTTCTAGGGATTTGCTAAGTTTCTGTCATGGACCCTTAAGCATCCTAATCTTCCCTTGAGGGTCAGTGTCCTCCTTTATAAGACAGAACAACCACACCTCCCTCACAGGTGGCAGAGTGATGTTAGGTAATGAATGTGAAAACTTGGCAGAGAGCATACCCTTAATAAATGTTCATTTTTTTCCAATCTCTAATTCCAAAGAACTTAAGTAGCTGTGAAAGCAACAGTTTCTTGAAAAACAAAACACCGAATAAAGTTTTCTCTCCAGTTCCATCTCAGCATACGCCCACACATCACCATCCTCTTCATGCCCTAGTTTGACCGGCACCAAGTACTCCTTAGACACGGATGCTAATTCTTGCCCACTTTGTTCCTTTTTCATTTGATGCATGTTCTTATGGTATTTTTCTTTTTCTTAGCTTCTACTGGTGCTTGAAATTAAAACAGACTTCAGTTTGTTTTCATGTTTGTGTTGCGGTCGAGGTAGAGCTCTCCAAAACCCTCAGACAGTCTCAGACTCCCCAAAAGAGATAAACTCTGTGATCTCTAGAAAGCGTACAACAGTGCTTGCTACCTAAAAGGAAAAATCTCCCCTTGATTTGTCCAAACCTTTCTGTTTATGTCCAGAAGGAAAGCTCCATTTCTGTGCCACCTGGCCCTTTTGATGTACAATAGATGGAGATCCCCACATCTTCCGCACAGAATTCTAGAAAGGAAATTTCCAAGCACATGTTTTGAAACACAACTCCCAAGAGTTGTGAATGAAACATATCAATCACCATTTTTTTCACTCATCCTCTCTTTGCAGCCCAGGGGCTGAAATCACCTGTTGTCTTGGAAATAATCCTTGGAAGAAGAAGTCCAAGGGGAAAAGTAAAGTTGTGGTCCCATCCGGGTTTTCTATTATCTTAGCTTAATACTAAGATTATATTAGCTTAATGCTAACTCAAGACAGGAAGCTTCACATCCTGCAGCCTGGTTCACAATCCATAATAGATAATGTTCCTGGAGCCCAAGTTGAGAAAAGGAGTTCACTGTGCACATTTGGCAACGATGCCAACCTAGAATTCGGTTTGAGCTATAACATAAAATAATAAAGTACAAATGCAAATAGCAAAACTGTGCCCACATTGAGGCTCAGAGTGTGCCAAAGCTGACCGAATAATGATACATTTTTCATGTGTTGATTAAGGGATTTAATTGGCATGTTGTAGGATGCCTCCGGGTGAGGGCTCACGGCATCAGAGCTGGCGTGGAGCCCACATCCTGCTACCCTGGCAGCTCCCCATCCTTCCCATTAGCTCAACCCACATGGAGACATGCGAGCGGGACAGAATGAGACACCTCCCTTTTACCCAAGTATACTGGAGCCCACCCAGGGAAAAAAGCAGGGCAGGTTGATGAAAAGGGTAGGCTAGTGTTCCCAGCTTCTCCACTGTGACTCGACTGGGGAAGTCATAAAAGCTACAGGCATTTGAGCAGTCATTTATAGTTTACAAACACTTTTCAAATGGATTCTCTTAATCCTCGCACAAAGCACTGAGGAACATATTTTTATTGTCTTCTTTTTATAGATATAGAAATGAAGGCTCAGAGAGGTTGAGGGACTTGCCCAAGGACATACAGCTGGTAAGTGCCAGAAATGGGGACGGGGTCCAATTCTTTCTGTCTCTCACACCTGCGCTGTGGGCTGCCTCTTCCCTCACCCAGGCCCTCGAGACTCAATCTGATTTTCTGCCTCAAACCCCAGCTGTGAATCAGGGACTTGGAAAATGTCTGGGTAAAAATCTGATTCTCATACCTTCAGGACAGAGGTAAGCTGTACATAAACTGAGGTAGGAAAAGTCACCTCTCCCTTTTACATTTGCACAGCAAAAGGTAACAGGTGGAAACTGACTATTCCTTCATGACCTGGTTTTATTATTGTGCCCCCCAAAGGCAGAAGTGGTGATGTTCTGGGATGGGGATTTCTACTAACATGTCATGGGGACATTTGTCATTTCTGTGCTTGCTTTTTCTGTTTATCTGTTCTCCTTCTCTTTCTCCCTTCCCTTGGCAATGTTCTGGGGTGCTCCCGAAAGACACAAGGAACTCATACTGAGCTCACATCCTGCTCAGACATAACCACTGTCTTCCTCAGAGGTTTGAGAAGCAATACAAAGCCTTCTATCAGCTTCATGCATGAGGAAGGAGGTACTGGCTTGAATTAATAAGAACTTCGGGATTTCCCAATCAAAAGCATTTTGGCAATCCAGAAAGCTGGCAGTCCTCAAGGGTAGAGCATCAAACCCATTGTGAAACATCATTCCACAGAACGTCTGCTCTGGGTTCTCTTTTTTAAAAGTATGTCAGAGTTCTAACTAATTGTCAAGACAGGAACAGGCCTCATGGAGACACTTTGAGAGGGCTGGGCCAGGAACCCAAATCAATTCTACAACTAGATTCTGATCAGCCAAGCACACAGGGGAAGCATGTTCTGGTTATTTTAATGTTCTGGTTAATTGGGAACTAAGTAGGGTATATTGAACATAATTAAATCTTTCTTTGATGATTGAGAATCTTGCATTGCCCTGGAGCGATCATTCTAAATATCAATTATAAATCCCCACTGGTGGGAATACAGGAGATTGAGTTGAACCTGCAGTGACTTCCGGCACCAACTGCAAATTTACTTTGAGGTCCACTCCCACCCCCCACCCCCCATACTTCTAGCCCAGATGCATTCTTGCCTTTTATGCATCAGATAGAATGAGTCAAAAGACTATAAGTCAACCCGCTATAGAAGTTCTTTGGTGCTAGTCTCAGTTTCTCTATCAAGGAGTTCTATGACCTTGGGGAAGCTATTTCACTTCTGAGACTCAGTTTTTTTGTCCACTGGAAGGTTGGATTTATTGGTTCTTAGATTTTTTAGGGATACAGATTTCCTTAAGAATCAGAGGAAAACTAAGACAGCTTTTCAGAGCAGGGGAAAATGAACGTAAGGACAAAACATTTCCACTCTAAATCAGGAGATGGGGTCATGGGGTCCCTGAAGCCCATCTTCTGGAGAGGCCTGTCTATGGACTTCAGGTCTAGGATCCTGAATCAAGAGACCTCTCAGTCTTTGAGCCCTGGCATTCCCAGAATCAGGTTAAGTGTAAGCATCTACCCAAGTCTTAGGGCAGTGGTTCTGGCCCTTAACTGCACAATGAGTCCACCTAGGGAGTTTGCTCCAATCAGGTTCAGGTTGCTCCCCAGACCAATTAAATCCAAATTCTGGTGAATGGGTCCCAGGCATCACCAATCTCTAACGCCCTGCAGGTGATTCTAGTGCACAGACAAGTTTGCAAACTACTACTCTAGGACAAGAATTCTCACAACCAGGAGTGAACGGAATCACACAAGGGGAGGCAGCTTCCCAGGCCCCTGCCCCTGGTGATTCCAATTCATTCTGGCCACATCCCACCTGGGAAGACGCACTCGTAGCAGGCATCCTAGGCAGTTCTGATGCAGACCCCTCTTTGGGAAGCCCTGTGGTAGGCATGGAGCAGAGGAAGCCCAGAGGAGTCCTCTCCCCTGCTCCCCCTTTTCCCTCCATGTTGTTCTAGGTGATCCCCACGGCTCTCCTGCCAGGCCTTCATTTGCCAGACACACGTTTTCTCCATCTTGCCCATCTCTAGCAAACCCGGATCTTTCAGCCCGAGCCTCTAATCCCATCAGGTTCAATAATTGTAGCGGAGCACGCTCATCGACATGGTTGTAGTTAATATTTAAAGACCATAGCATCACTTAGGTCAGCCTCAAGGTGAGAGCTGCTGCTGGCTCCTGTGTGCTCTTGCTGGTTGGCAAACTGGCCACTGGTGCCAGAGAGGACTCTGCGGGAGCACAACTCCAAGGCAGGCTGGCCGGCAGAGACCCAGCCTGCTGGGCCCCACACCCCTCCACCCCTTCCTACCTGAAGCGTGCGCAGCAGGACCTGCAGCCCACTGGCTTCTTGTTCGGCCATCCCTTCCTTGGGTCTCGGGGAACCGGCTGCCTGCGGCCAGATCGGGGCTGGAGAGGCAGCGGCTGCCAAGCTGACCTCGCTGCCCACCTCGCGGGAGCCTGCTGCACGGAGGCCTCAGCTGCACATGCTGCTGAGTGTGAAGTCACCACGCTGCAACCCTAGCCCTCGGCTCAGGCGCAAATGCCCCCCGACTCCCACTGTGGGGATTAGGTGAGCCCCGGCCTGGGGAGGGCTGAGCATTTGGGCATGGGGGTGGAGAGGGCACCAGCGTGAGTCACTCACCCACCTCCAGGCCCACGCAGGAGCCACCCTGGATGGCTGACAGGCATTCCCAGCTGACCTGGTCAGACTCCCTGCAGAGGCTCGCTCGGCCCTCCCCGCTTGTCCCCTCCCGTTATTTTGGTCTGTTGCCGGCTCCCGGGTAACAGGAGACCCAAGGCTGCTTGCACAACCATGCAGGCAGGGCACAGAAGCCCAGGGCCCCCTGAGGTCCCAGGCTCAGGGACTGGAGCTCTGGCCGAGAAGGAAATAACTGCTGCGGACATCTACAAGCGGGGTCCCTTACGTAACCTATTATCTCCCACCGCACCCCGATGGAGGACAGTCTGTTAGTACCCCATCTTTGTTTTCAAATGAGAAAACCGAGGCGCGGAGGTGTTAAGCCCTAAGAAAACAGCTCTCAAAGAGACAAGCTGGCCCTGAGGCACAGGCACTAACCATAAAGCCATCCTGCCTCCTCCTGTTGAAAACACAGTGATACAGGTAACGGAGCTCCACGCACCTGCCTTGCCTGAGTGTCCTCAGGACCAATGTGGGATCCGTGATCTCTTTCTGTGTCCTCCGCTTGAGTGTGTGAGAAGGGTTTTAGTGGCTAATTGGTCACCCAATCCTTCTCCCCATGTCAACACCTAACAGTCCGTTAGGTGCCAGCTTTTCAGAATGTGGTTGGGTGCCTCACCGGGAAGCCTGTTAGACCCCACCACAGACCTCGGGAATCAGAGTCTACGTTTTCCCAAGATCCCCAGAAGAATCAAAGCTGGTTAACAAACTTACCATAGCGGCACCGGGGTGGCTCAGTCAAACACCTGACTCAATTTCAGCTCAGGTCATAATCTCACATTTTGTGGGTTCAAGCCCTGCATCAGGCTCTGCGCTGACAGGGCAGGGCCTGCTTGGGATTCTCTCTCTCTCCCTCTCTCTCTGTCCCTCCCCACTCATTCATGCTCTCTCTCTCAAAATAAATAAACTTAAAAAAAATTACTAGCAGATTAAAGTTTGGGAAGCCCCTGGGTTTTGTTTTTTTGTTTTTTGTTTTTAATATATATATTTTTAGGGTGCCTGGGTGGCTCAGTCAGTTAAGCGTCCAACTTCGGCTGAGGTCATGATCTCACGGTTCATGGGTTCGAGCCCCACATCGGGCTCTGTGCTGACAGCTCAGCGCCTGGAGCCTGTTTTGGACTCTGTGTCTTCCTCTCCCTCTGCTCCTCCCCCACCCATGCTCTGTCTCTCTCTCTCTCTCTCAAAAATAAACATTAATATATATGTATATATAATACGTTTTTATTGTTGAGAGAGTGTGAGTGGGGGAGGGGCAGAGAGAGCCGGAAACAGACAATCCCAAGTAGGCTCTGTGCTGACAGAAGAGCGCCCGACGCAGGGTGTGAACTCATGAGCTGTGAGGTTGTGACCTGAGCTAAAGTTGGACACTTGGGGCACTTGGGTGGCGCAGTCGGTTGGATGACCCACTTCGACTCAGGTCATGATCTCACAGCTCATGAGTTCGAGCCCCACATTGGGCTCTGTTCTGACAGCTCAGAGCCTGGAGCCTGCTTTGGCTTCTGTGTCTCCCTCTCTGTCTGTCCCTCCCCTACTCACACACTGTCGCTGTCTCTCTCAAAAATAAAAAATATTAAAAAAAAAAACTTTTTAATTTAAACTCAGATACTCAACCGAATGAGCCACCCAGGCGCCCCTAGGAAGCCCCTATTTTGGCCATATTGATTACATTGCCAGGACAGCCTGTGTATTTGATGTCTGACAGTTTTCACCCCAATAACTGGGGGCCAGCAGACACACAGCACAACTTCAGGGTGTGAAATTGGAGAGTGAGCTCACTGAGGTTCATGACCGACTGAGAGCACAGCTAGACAGAAAGATCTCGGCTCACAGCCAACTCCCCCATGCAGAGATTGGGGAGCTTTCGTGAGCGTCAAAGCATCCAGCCAGCAGCTGTGCAAGCACAGTTGTGACAGAGGGAAGAGAGTGCATTTCATGATCTTCGTTGGCCTAAATGTCCTAAAGTCCTGAGTCAGGAGTCAGCACCTCAGACATTCTCTCCTCAAAGCCAGGCCTGGCCAAGCCCTCAAATTCAAGGACAAATGCATGTGGTTCCTGCCTTCCGGAAACTTCTACTTATAATGGCTTTAAATGTGAGAACTTCCACCGAACTGATTGTGACATCTCATGTTTACTCAGTGGGGGTGGGGGTTGAGCCTCTCTTGTCTCCTCACACTTTCTACCTCCTTCAATGGCAGGAGGGAACAAATGAAGACCCCTAAGGATTTCTACCTTCTGTGAATGGTGGAGCTTTTCAGGGACCATGATCTATGATCTTCTAGGGTCTAGGGGCACAGGGAGAAGTGAACAGTCCCCGTGTGATTATCTTAACGGCAGATTCTTCCATTCCTCAAATGCAGTATAAAGAAAAGGGAAGGGTGGGGGGGAATAAAACCTCCCCATATATACCTAAAGAGCAGTTTAAAGAAAAACCACCTTCATAGCGGAGAATTCATAAATAGTACCTCTGATGACATAACTAAACGAATTATGGTCATACTCCCTTATGTTAGCATTCAGGTAAAATTGTCCCCATTTGAGAGGCACCTGGGTGGCTCAGTCGCTCGGTCAAACTTCAGCTCAGGTCATGATCTTGTGGTTTGTGACTCTGATCCCTGCATCAGGCTCTGTGCTGACAACTTGGAGCCTGGATCCAGCTTCAGATTCTATGTCTCTCCCCCAACCCACCTCTGCCCCTCCCCCACTAGCGTGCTCTCTCACGTGCGGGCACTCTCTCTCTCTCTCTCTAAAACATAAACATTACAAAAAAAAAATGTCCCCATTTGACAAGGTGTCTTAGTTCAACTCACTGGAACTGTGTAGCACCAAGTGAGGTAAAAACCCCTACAGAAAGGGATCACCCTCTTCTACTCAATGACACCTTTCCCAAGCTACACCATGAACCTTGTTTCCAGTAAGATCCCTAGGAAGTAAGGCAAGTAGTGTACCCCCTTTTTCTCTGGAGACATACCTGTGTCACATGGCCAGCTTTGTTCCACTACTGCACCATCCCCCACAAAGCTTCACCCTCTAGAGAACCATCACCCACTTGCCCATGTGGAGACACATGGATGCCAGACTAGGAATAAAGTTCTGGTTTGTGTCCTCTGATTTTCTAACAAAGTTAGGGCTCGCTTCTAGCTTGATTTCAGCTCTCTGTTACTCCTTCAACATACTCCTCCTGTTGATCCCCCAACACTCACACCTCAACATTGCCCTGTGGGGACCCCAGCAACCATGATCCCACTATCCTCATCTCAGCAGAAACTTTTCTACTCTCAAATTCGATGGGAAAGCCCCAGCAGTGCCTGCATCCATACCTCCCTTTTCTGGATTCCATCTTTTTTTTTTTTTAATTTTTTTTTTCAATGTTTATTTATTTTTGGGACAGAGAGAGACAGAGCATGAACGGGGGAGGGGCAGAGAGAGAGGGAGACACAGAATCAGAAACAGGCTCCAGGCTCTGAGCCATCAGCCCAGAGCCCGACGCGGGGCTCAAACTCACGGACCGCGAGATCGTGACCTGGCTGAAGTCAGACGCTTAACCGACTGCGCCACCCAGGCGCCCCTCTGGATTCCATCTTAATGAGAGTCCAGTTCTGTTTGTGGACTGATTAATTTACTCTGAATATGAATGGGTGATAGTGGCTTACTGTGCGCTTTCCCATTAGTATTTGAATTTTAGCAGGGACTTTTCTAAAAGGCAGGAGCTGAGGCCCAAGCTTGGATAATACAGTATCTCGCCCACAGTTGATTGAAATGAGTGCCTGTTAAACCACATGGGGCAGCCAACAGGGGAAGGCCAGGCCCTGGGGCAGGCCAGGGAGGAGGCTGCTTCATGTAGAAGACAAAGGCCTTCCTACTTGTTTCTCTCTGTACCTTCAAAGGAGACGTATAGGGAAACCACAAGCAGATCCAAGCAGAAGCCTGGCTAGAACTCAGTCCTTTGGCTTTAAAGAAAAACACTCTTAATATGGCCAAGAGATTCCTGTTGCAATTCAGGGGTCCCCAAGACCACCCTCATGTTTGATGATTCCCTAGAAGGACTTACAGAACTCAGAAAAGCCATTATACTTGATTACTGTTTCTTATCACAAAAGGGTGCAGATGAAAATCAGCAAAGGGAAGAGGCACATAGGGCAGGGTTCAGGAGAGCTGAACCCAGGCATGAGCTTCCAATTTCCTTCCCCAGAGGCATCATGCAGATGCTGCTTACTTGTCCTAGCAACCACATGACAACATGCCCAGAGTACTGTCAACCAGGGAAGTTCACCCAAGCCTTGCTGTCCAGGGTTTTTACTGGGAGTTGGTCATATAGACATGGCTGATCTTAGCTCCTCCAGAGGTCAAGCTAATAGTACATGGCCTGACGTCTCACCTAAATCATATTCTTTGTATAGACTATTTAGCATGGCCCAACTCATCCAGGTAAACAAAACACTCTTATCAAGCCAGAACATTCCAAGGATTTAGAGATACTTTTCAGGAGCTGGGCAAGAGCCAGACCTTTCTTAGGGCAAGGCTAACTCTTTACTGCACACCTTCCCTCTCGTCCCATAATCCCAGGCCCAAGACTCTCATAGTATCTTATGTGCAGGCCTATATAATTAGGATGACTCCATAGCTACTACAATGCCAGTACTCAAAGAGTGGCAATAAATAAATTGACACTAATGTCTAACATCATCCAGAGAATTCAGTCCCCTGGCTCTACCCTGTTCAACATGTTTATCAATGACTAGAATGAAAATAAAGGCTGCATGCTTATCAAATTTCCTGATGACACTAAGTTGAGAAAGATAGAAATATGTCATACGACACATCTGGGATCCAAAAAGATTTCAGCAGGCTTGCGTGATGGGAGCAAATCCTACAGAACAAAATATAATAGAGCCAAGGAGCCAGAAGCTCCTTACCCTGGCTCCCCAACACAAACTG